ATGCATCTCCATGGATAGATCATTGCGTGTGCGTAGAAATTTTTATTTTCCATGCAACGATCCCCAACACCCAATGTTACATTGTGGCTGACATGTTGGCTATTCTGATTGTGCGCACCAAGCAGGACAGCCAAATTGTAGCGGTAGTGCCACACCTTGTGGATGGTGGCCTCTTTATTCTACAATATGCCGATGACATAATTCTTTTTATGGAACAAGACCTGGACAAGACTCGAAACCTGAAACTCCTGTTGTCGGCGTTTGAGCAAATGTCAAGTCTTAAAATTAACTTCCATAAAAGTGAAGTGTTCTGCTTTGGAGAAGCCATTGAGGTGGCGGCCGATTATGCGGACTGCTTGGTTGCACACCTGGCCAATTCTCGATCAAATATCTAGGAATACTGATTCATTATCGACGTCTCACCATTGCGGAGTGGAAGCATGTAGAGGAGCGGTTAGAGAAATAGTTGAGCAGTTGAAACGGCAAGTTGCTCTCAGTTGGAGGACGACTGGTTTTGATAAACCATGTCCTCACAAATATGGTTCTCTATATGATTTATTTATTCCAACTCCCAAAAAGGGTCTTGCAAAGATTGGACTATTTTTTGTCTACATTCTTTTGGCAAGAAGACGATGAAAAGGAAAAATATCGGTTGACTAAATGGAGTGGTTTGTAGGTCGAAAGACCAAGGTGAACTTGGAATTCATGAGCTGCCGGTCAAGAATGAGGCCCTACTTAGTAAATTGTTGTTCAAACTTCTTACTGGGGATGGTATTTGGCAAACCATACTGCGCAACAAGTATCTAGGCCAAATGGCGGTGTCTCGGGCATATTGGAAACTTGGGGACTCGCACTTTTGGGCTGGCCTAATGGCGGCAAAGAAACAATTCTCTTGCTTTGGGTCTTTCGCGATAAAGGATGGGTCGGAGATTCATTTCTGTGAAGACATCTGGTTAGGCAATGCCAGTCTCCGAGAACAATATCCAGCCTTGTACAACATTGCTCGCGATAAGAACACTACTATTGCGTAGGTGCTCAGCTCATCCGTGTCGAATATTTCATTCAAGCGGGATTTGATTGGCACCCGACTTATGTCATGGCATAATCTCTTATCCTTTCTGGATCTGATTACCTGACACAAGGTCGTGATGTGTTTCGCTGGAATCTTACTACATCGGGGTCTTTCATTGTAGACTCTATGTATCATGTGCTCACGCATTCTGAGGTACCGATGAGTAATAACAAAAAAATCTGGAAGGCGAAAATTCCACTAAAAGTTAAAATATTCATGTGGTATCTTCGTAGAGGTGATGTGCTAATTAAAGACAACCTCGGACGACGTAACTGGCCAGGAGGTAAGAAGTGATGTTTTTGTACTCATGACGAAACAATCAAACACCTCTTTTTTCAATGCAAGTTTGCGCATTTTACGTGGTCAGTCATCCAAATAGTCGAGTTTGCATCCGTCCACAAGTGTTGCCAATGTTTTCTATCATTGGTTGAACGGTATTTCAAATAGGTTCAAAACCCTAATAAGAATGGAAACGTATGCCTTATCATTGGTTTTTCGTTGTATGTATTCGCTTCATATGTGGTCTACGCTATAACGAGCGGTACTCCGACCGCTATTCAAGGTGATGTGTACGTGATTGAATGGGTGGCAGCCTAATCTCCGCTATTCAAGGTGATGTGTACGTGATTGAATGGGTGGCAGCCTAATCTCCTGATCGGTCTACTAACCATTTCAACATAGGCATAGTGCCGCTTATCGGCCTATAGGACTCTACTATTGCCGAATTATCTTCTTTTTTCTTTCAAAAAAACTGAGAACCTCCATGTCAAGCCTTATAGCGTGTGAAACCCATTGACTTCCACAGATAGAAATGGGAGGGAATTTAAGAAATTTTCTGCACAAGTTAGAGATCGTCTTGTCAAGTTTACACAAAATAGTCATTATACAAGTCAATATCTGTGTCTTGAGATTACACAAAATGTTAGTCAGAACAACACAAAGTCAACCTTCGCGATCGAATTCACAATAGGGGTACCAAAAGTCACGGCTGGCTGTAACTGGTGTACTTTTTTTTTCTTGCAGCCGACTAACGATTAAAACGGTGCATACCATACCATATCGGATAAACATTCACAATTGCTCCTGCATTCACGGAGATGATGATTACATATGAATAAAGGCGATCCTTGAATTTCCACGAGCCATCTCCAGTAATTTTCGCAACATTAACCAACCTAGTTTTTAGCATAGGCCTTGTGGTTCTCGTTCTGCAGGATACAAATCGCTCATGACTTGAGTCGACATGTTAAAAGTGAAACAGCAAATCAGAGAGAAAAAGGGAACACGTGCTAACATGAGATTTTAGTGGCGAGGATTGTCAACAGCTCCAGCCACTTGGTCTGATGGCTGATGAAAAAGTAAGAGTGCTATAGAACGATCAATTGGATTTGTCTGCGTCTCAATGCTCCTATGATCAACAAACCTACAAAACAGAAACATCAACATGGAAAGGAAACAGAGAACTCCAATGCAGTTTAATTAATGCTACTAAAGTGACCATTCTCAATCAAGATCGGATCATGTTCAATAATTACCAGCTATTACCGGTTAAGTTACTACTAAATCAGCTATACAACTGCAACAATCATCAAGAATAACTGTCTTCCCAATTGCTCATCATAAAATAAACAAGTTCTTTGATCTACAGACTATCTTCTTAACGAGTAAGATACTTTATTTGTTTTAGAGAAATAAGATTCAATATTTCAAACTGAGTTATAAGATAAGAGATTGTGCCAGAGATAAAATAGACACATTTCGACAAACATTAAACAAATGTTACTGGACAATGGCAAAGCCACAAATAAAAAATTCATGATTATACAAAGTATGGTCTTTTATGAGAATCCCAACATACTTGCCCGAAGTTTCCATATTTTGTGTATCCTTTGCATCCCGGCTTTCTTCATGTCTATTGATCGCATTTGGGAAAACTGGTCGATTTTGCGCGCTTCTTGCCAGGCGGTACAAACCATCTCTAATGCACAGTTTGGTTTTCACATCCAACTGAAACAACAATAGGGGCAAAGAAGGTAAGCTCCAAAATATAACACACACTAATGAAGCAGGACACGGAAGCATTGCTTGTACCAATAGTATAGCATTGATTTATTCAGTTCAAGATTATGACCATTTAAGGGAATCAAAATGCCAAGAGGCAAGAATGTGGAAACATCACAGTGAAGAAGCTGCTACAAGTCCTATTACAAAAAAACAAGTTGCTTGTATGAAGAACTATGGCTGGAGGTAAAGGTATTTCAACTTGATGAACCATACATACAAAAGGAAGGCAGAAAATAAACCTGTACCTGACTAACTGCATCCTGAAGTTGTCGGAAGCTGCTTTCTTCAACTGAATTATCAGAAGAAAGAGACGACACAAAAGAGCCATCCACCACTACTGATGTACCCAGTGTATCCTTACTTCTTTTTCCAAAGCCCTTCTTTTCAACCTCGTAGTTCTCACAAGGATATGAAGCTCTTCTAGACAATGTTTGTTGACCAAGTTGTCCTTCATCATTTATGAGCTGTCCTGGTTGCAAATTAGCCACTTGTTTTTGAACTGCACTCATACATCAAGTCTGATAATTAGACCAAAAGGCAGACAAACACGCTCATAACGAATACTCATACAAATATCCTGTGAAATTTCTTTTATATATATTACCCATCAAGTTCCTCTGTGCAAAAGATCCAGATGGACTGAACTGGCAGTTTCTATCTGAATAGCAATCAGAAGTAATGTTACTTGGTGAAGTTTTATCTGAGTGGTGCTTTTGCTTCAGTAAATTCTGGGAGGAGCTTAATTGAGATCCTGAAGGTACAGAAAACTTCCTGTCCTCCAACTGTTGCAAGGCATTTTCTGATGAATATCGCTCGCCAATCTGCAATATTGCCATGGCAGTAAACAAATAAAGATAAATTTTATAAATAGTTGGGGAAAAAGTGACATCTCAAATGGATACCACTTTACTCGAAAAAGATCATGCACTAATAGTAATAGATGATCTGTTCTCCTTACCACCTCCCAAACACATGACGTATCAGAATAAATAATGCTAATGCAGTTACATACTGTGGTTGTCAATTCAACTATTACAGTGGCTTCTTGGAACAGCCCAGGGTTTACCACAAATTAGAAATTGGTTGTTCTTTTATTTTTGCATCATAAGCATTGCATCAGCATCATGTTGCATTTCATTAGGAATTTGGATATTTTTACTAGACCCCAAGACCCATTTTATTTTGCCATTTTTTAAAATGGTGAATAAATAAACCCTTCTCCCTTTTGGTGTTTTTAGCCCAAGACTCACCTCCACACACTTTGCACATTATCTTTTTGTGATATTTGGGAGCTACTCAGATTATTTCACAATTTTCGCCTAAGCCTACCTATTACACGTAGTTCAAAACCCATTTATTTAATAAATGGATTTATTTTATAAATAAATAGTAAATGAAGTCCAAATGGATTGTATGTATTTTTCATGTGGCCTTGTTATAATCTAGAGAGGCCACATATAGATTTCATCCAATTCAGAGTTCGTGTGATGCCCCAAACATTTATTATACGGAAGCTATAGGGAGTAGGATTTTCTACAAGTGCTTGCCACAGAACTAGTTAAGGGTTTCAACGGTGCAAAAGTTCTCAAAAATTCTGAAAAAAAATACTGAACCAACACACCTATAATATAACATGATCCAACAGAGGGATTAAAAAAATACGACTGTATGTGTCCTGGACAAAAAAACAAATAGTTTAATATATATTTATGTCGCAGTGAGCTGAAATGCTTATTATCTTTGCCAAGGATACATAGATGCATATTTTGACAATCCCTCCGTTGAATCATCTTATTACATTAGAGAGATGCTCCCATATTTATTTCATATTTTTTGATAAGTTTTAAACCGTTAAAAGTTTAGCGACCCTTAACTAGTTCTGTGGCAAGCTATGGTAGACACAGTTTTACCGAAGCTATAGTCCTTAATTAATAAAAAAAACTAGATAAAATTGACATTGTTTGCAGTGGGCCGGCCCAATGGGCGCTCGTTAGAAGTAGCGCTCCTGTGATGAGCTTAACATGAGACGCAAGGCAGTCGGCCCAGCAAGGCCCATCGGACCCCTTCTCCGTTTAACCAGCCCAAGCTGCCCAAGGAGACCCCCAAACCCTAACCCTAACCGCCGCCACCACCCCAGATCCAGCCACCACATCGAGATCCGTGCAGATCCAAATCCGACGGCCTAAGCCACCCAAAGGCCTGCAGCTCGCCGACACTCGAGCCCGTAGCCCCGTCATTCGCAGCCAAGCCCCGCCACAGCGCCGCCGCGGAGATCATTCACCACCACCGGCCCCGCCGCCAGATCCGAAAACCCGTCCTTCCGTCGTCGCGTGGCTCCTCTGCCCCTGGTGACCGCCAACCAGAAGGCCGCCACTCCGCCACCGAACCAAGCCATCTCTACCATCGGTCAACTCTCGTCGACCCCGCTGCATCCGGCCGCCTCCTCGTCGTCCCCAACGACGGCAGCCCCCACCGGACCTCGCAACCCATTGTCAGAGTCCCACGACGTGCATCATGTTAATCACTTCTAAAATCATGTTTAGGGTGCAACCATAATAAACTTTTGCAATGGATTTAGTTCGAAATGCTACATATGATGCTTCAAATCCATTTAATATGTGTAGGTAGACATAGTGGAATCCTTTACCATGCTTCATGATGCATTTGAGCCTTCTTAAGGTATTTGTTAAACTTTACATATCTAAGGTATATGCGCTTCCGTTGTATGAGTTGTATCTTGGTCGAAAGACCCTATTTGTATTCATTCAGTCAATTTGAATCTCCGGAGTTGTTTTACATATATGTTGTTGTTCCGGATTCTTTCATGACTTGTGTTGTGATACTTATTTTCCACCCGCATAGCGTGCATGTCGTCACGTGCATGTTGTGTAAGGTGACATCTTAGGATCAATTATGCAGATACTAAAGGAAGTGCTAGATCTGCATAGTGCTGGATCTCGAGGTGCTACAAGTTGCCACAAATGACAGGAAGGAACATGTACTTACATTAGAGCAGCAGAAAATAAATCAAATCGCAATCTTACAGAGTAACTGTATTTTTTTTTCTCGAAGACTGGAAACAGGAGAACTATGAAACAATTAGGAAAACTGAAATTCTACCTTGCAAAAATAGGGACATTGGAACTGAAAAAATGAATCATGTTCCCTAATTATTCCACTGAGAACACACCATTGACCAACATACCAACCAAGCAAACACACAATGTCCTTTTATTTAGACTAATAAAAAAAGGTCAAACTACCATAGTACCATATCAAGGCTACCATATCCGCACTGAAAGCATGAATCACTATCTTAATTACTCTATTGAAAACATATCCTTCATAGAATAACACACCCACTGTAATTTTTAATATTATTAGACAGATTAAAGAGGTAAAATTACCATATCAAGGTTTCCATCTCCATTGCATATCTGGTCAGTGGACAACAATTCCATTGCACCCCCCTGGTAAGCCTGTGGTACATACAAAAATATTAATAAAAAGAGGCTTGAATGGCAACCAGATAAACCAATTGTAGAAGAAAGGATAATCAGTTTACTTGCCTGTTCTCCATATACATCAACATTCTTTTGCTCATTGAATGGATAATTGTCATTGAATTGCTCGTCTGCTGTTGGTAGGGATTTATCTTGTGCACAAGGGAATGCTGACAGGTCATCCAGCATACCATAGTCTGAATAAGAAGAGTCAAAACCTGCCTGCAGAGCAACATCGGAAGAGTAAATGGCATCTGAAGAAGGAATCCATGACAGCTCATCAGTGTTCTCCAGTTGTTGTTCACCATATGTGGAATCACACCCCCTTAGACGGAGAAAAACAATTAGCCAAACAGGACCAGAGTCTGTTTCACTATTTTTATGTAAGATCTTACACAGTCAGCAAGTGAAACATTCAAAGTACCTGAATAGTGTATCAACATCCTCAAAATTATCAATGCTAGGCCAATCAATGAAGTTTAGATCATTATCTCCATAATTGAGATCACTTTGCGGAACACTGTGATTGTTGAGAACAGCTGAGCCATTACTCAGTGCAAACTGGCAATTGTTCCAGTTTTCTGTTTGGTATCTTGTTCCAGATGTAGTATCATCTCTGCTCAAGGGAAAAGCACTTGATTCAATTTTGCAGTCTCTTACATGGTCGGAAGCTACCACACAGGTAGAGTAGATGTGGTCTGAATTAAGTTTCCGTGAATCTGAATTAGTTGCTGTAGACACGACACCCTGCGGGTTCTCTTCAGTGGTAATCCCATGCTTCAGTTTCTTATTTGAGATATTCAAAGGCCCTGCTCCATCTTCTTGCAAGTTGCTATTACCCCGAGCAAATTCATCCTTGAATTTACCTTCAAACTGTAAAAACACTACATGCTTAGTCACAGGTGAACAGCAGGGGAATCTAATTACTTTTATTGAGTATTAAGGGAAATAGCTGAACATGAAACAACTCTATTGCTCGGAGAGAATCAATGTGATTTGAATTACTGAATAGACTTGACAAATAACAGAGTTCAGCATGTGGCTGATTATACCACGAAACATTGCTCTATCACTGGAAAGTATGTAACTAATTTTCTGTAGGTGAGACCTGTAGCGGAACATCAATCTGATCATAGAATTTCTTATGCCGGATCAACTTGCTTCAAAGGTAACTGTCCCCAGTACACTATTGGTACGCTGCCATATCAGGGGTTATCTTACTAGCACTACTCATGTATTGTTTGCACATCAAAAACAAGTGAAGGTCGGCAATAGATGGATGCTGAACAGCAGCAACAAAGAGATTGGGACGAATCAATGGCAACAGAAGATTCATGTCTTATACTCTTGGTTCATATGCTTACCCAACGAGAGATAAGCAGGTCTTTTTTTTTTGCGAATGGATAAGCAGGTCTTTTTCGCAAAAAATAAAGGTAAGCAGGTCTAACATGTCATTCAAGTTACTTGAACAGTAAAAAGAAAACTTGAGGCATCAAAATTAGGTAATTAGGTATAGAATACAAAAACACAAAGTTAGCATGAAGGCTATGGTACATGATATACAGAATCTAGACATGACAGGCCAATTTTAATTCCTCCATTTTGATGACATATCAAATTTTTAGCCACTATCTGAGCCAGGTACTGTACTATTTAAGGTCAGAAGAACTTGTACGTCTTAATTTCTAGTTACATACCAATACATCTAACGGTATTTTATTCGGCCGCTTGGAAAACTATTAGTAAGATGCAATATCCAGTTAAGAAACAGAGACTCATCAAAATCAGGATATCACCTCGCCCGCCTTCCAATCTGGCATCACTACAGCTTCTATCCAGGCCCGAAACTGTACCAATTCACCGGATTTGATATCATATTCAACTCAGGATCCCCAGTTGTTGATCAAATCCTAGAAAACACTGACCATTAAGTTGAGTAATACAGTATGAATATTAGAGAAAGTGTAAAATAAACCCGGGGGGATTCTATCTGCTATACTGCACATGCAAAAACACTCGGATAGATAGAATTCGGAGTTTCTCACCTTGCCAAATCAGACGATTTGGATTTGGGTTGGATCAAACCTGCAAAAACAATAAAAAAATCCCTTAAAAGTCTCCAGAAATGTTGACAAGAAAAATACTACTCAACTTGCAACCAAACACCCCCGACGCCGGATCCGAATTTCAACACTCGACAAAGGTAAGATGGAGAATTTCTCTTCCAACAGAAAAGGAAGAGTGAAAGCCGATAAACAGCTAACCAAACCGGAAAGCTATGTAAGCGCGCGCGCGCGCGCACATACACACATACAAACAAATCTGAGAATCAACCACCACACGTAAAATAAACTCGAGAGAAGCAGCAAACGGAACCAAAAAGAAAAAGAAACGGAAGAAATTCACCGATAAAAAAGCCCAACCTGAATCCGAATCCAAACGAAGGTCAATCTGCAGAGGCTCCCTGATCCGCCTGTGGGAAGAAGGAGGGACCCGCGCGTAGCTTCTGGACGTCTTGGCCGTAGAAAGAGGACGAAAGGCCTGGTTCCGCTCCTCCTCCGCCTCTAGAGCCTTCGGGAGGAAAAATATTTTTTTTCTTTTTTAAGTAGAGCAAGGATGGGACAGCAGGTAGCAGGATATGCAACCACGGCAGCAGCGAGAATGAGAAACAAATTGGCAGGAATAAGAAAATAGAGTAAATCAGCGAAGATTTTATATCTTATTTGCGGCTGGTGTGGTGTGTGGTGCGTGGGCAGATTAACTAGCGGCTGGGAGCGCCTCGGGGGTGGGGCCCCTGCCGGTGTGGGAAGTAGTGGACGACAGCCGCCGGCCGCGATCCGATCACTTGCACGCCCCTCATTGGTTCCCAAAGCTGCCGGGCGGGCCCCGCGCGTGGCACGTGACCCGTCGTGACTTTTCTTCTCCTGCTTTGCTTTGGTTTGGGTTTGGTTCGGAGACGAGTAGAGTGTGCGACGCGGCGCGCTCTCCTTCCCCGGACGCCCTAGGGCTCGCTTAGAGCAACCATTTTTTATTGAGGGATCGCCTTTTTAGTTAATTATACACTATTGATACATAAACAGTGGCGGAGCCAACGTATGTAACGGTGGGGCCCATGGTCAGCGACCCAGACCAGAAGAGAGTCGAACCAGAGGAGGCGAGACCGAGTCGGGTGGAGTAGTTGAGTCGTGTGGGTTACTTAAGAGCCAAGTGTGGCCAGTTGTAAGGCATGATATGACATAATCGAACCGAACGGAGAGAAGCTGATCTTCCTCCTCCTTATCCCCTTCCTTCCCCTCGTCTCACCTACCTCCCTTGCTCGATCTCCCTCCTCAGATCCGTAGCCTAGATCAGTCCCCTTACATCTGGTATCAGAGGTCCAGCCGTCGATCTGGAGACCGCCTACCCCAAGCCACGTTACCATACGAAGCAAGCGCAGCAAGCGGCGGCGATGGAGGAGCAACTCGCGGCCCTCGCCAAGGTCGTCCACGACGGGCGGCTGGCCAACGAAGCCCGCCTCGACGCGATCCAGCAGTCGTTGGAGCTGTGGAGGCCCGCGGTCACTCACCTTCAACAACAAGTCGATGAGTTGCGCACGCAAGTGGGGCGCATCGCGCTCCACCTGATCCTGGCGGCGCCTCCGGATCCGATCCCGGAGGGCGACGCGGTGGTGCGACCGGCCTCAACACCCGACACCACCGAGCACCACGGGCCGTTAGGCCACGGCGAGATCGACACCACCGGGGGCATGGCACACGGGGTGGTCACCACCCAGTTGTCGCCTCCGGTCAAGGGTAAGTCCTTGGCCGATTCCCATGCTCTAGTTACTGTTCGTGCATCCGATTCGCTCGTACCGCATCAGATCGACCAGCCCGCACCACATTTCCCTAACTCGTCGTTGCCTAAACTTGATTTTCCGGTGTTTGATGGGGAAATCCGCAATTCGGGCGAACCAGATGCGAGAAATACTTTGAGGTGTATGGCGTGCAGCCAGATCTGTGGGTTCGCGTCGCTACCTTACACTTCACGGGTAGTGCGGCGCGCTGGCTGCAACTTCGGGAGTCCAGGAGCGGATCAATGCACTGGGACGAACTCTGTACAGCCTTAGGCACGAAATTTGGGAGAGAGCAGTATCAGGTGCACCTCCGGCAGTTTCGTCTGCTGAAACAAACTGGCACTGTGCATGAGCACATGCTGCAATTTGAGGAAATCATGTATCACTTGTTAGTGCACAACCCTGCTTTTGATCCTGTGTTTTTTACCACACAATTTTTAGAAGGGCTTAAACATGAGATTCGTGTGGGTGTGTTATTACATCAGCCAAAGGACTTGGACTCCGCTTTCTCGCTGGCTTCCTTGCAGGAGGAGGTGCTGGACGCGATTCCCCGTCGAGATCATCGGCGGCAAGAGGGCGGGGGGCCGCGCATACCACCTCGTCCCATCGGGGTCGTCGGCGCGCCGCAGCCACGCCAGCAACCACCAGGCGTGCCGGTGGAGGATCGTCGAGGCCAGGAAGCAGCAAATGCCCCCGAGAGGGCAGGCCGCGGAGACGATCGCGTGGCGGCGCTCAGGAACTATCGTCGCGCCCGCGGACTCTGCTTCAAGTGCGGCGAGCGGTGGGGGCAGGGCCACCAATGCGCGCCTACAGTCCAGCTCCACGTCGTCGAAGAGCTCTTGGAGCTGCTGCAAGCAGAGTACCCAGAGCAGCAGCATGATGACGAAGGCCAAGAGGAGGTGTTGATGTCCATCTCCAAGCTAGCCACAACAGGTCAAACCACACCACGTACAGTGAGGTTGCTGGGGCGAATCAAGGGCATCGAAGTGCTGATTCTTGTCGACTCTGGCAGCTCGCATAGTTTTCTGAGTGAGCAAAGCGCTGCGAGAATGCAAGCCGCAGTGCAGCCGCTGGCTCCCGTACCGGTGAAGATAGCCGATGGGGGCACTCTATCATGCATAGGCATTCTGCCGCAATGCAAGTGGAAGACGCAAGGGCAAGTGTTCCAGTCTGACCTGCGAGTGCTATCTCTAGGGTGCTATGATATGGTTCTTGGAATGGATTGGTTAGAGCAATGTGGACCGATGTGGGTGGACTGGACCAACAGAACACTGCAGTTCATCCACGAAGGCAAGGAGGTGTTGCTGACAGGGATTCAATCACGACTACAGTCAGTTCCTGAGGTGTCAGCGGCTCAGCTCAGAGCTATGGAAGCTGAAGGCGATCTCCTCCATTTCGTGACCCTGTGTGCAATTGCGCCCGAGGAGACCAACAAAGAGAAACTTCCAACAGAAGTGCAAACAGTGCTCAACGACTTTCAAGTGGTTTTTACAGAACCTACAAGGCTTCCTCAGCATCAGGATTGGGATCACTCGATCACATTGCTGCCAGGGGCCAAGCCAGTTAACATCCGGCCATACCGTTACACCCCGGAGCAGAAGACGGAGATCGAAAACCAGGTCAAAGAAATGCTCAAGGCCGGACTGATTACTCCAAGCATCAGTCCCTTCTCGTCGCCAGTGTTGTTAGTCAAGAAGAAGGATCTGACCTGGCGGTTCTGTGTGGACTTTCGACATCTGAATGCTATTACAGTTAAGAACACATATCCCTTGCCAGTAATCGACGAACTGCTCGACGAGCTAGCAGGATCCAAGTGGTTCTCGAAGCTGGACCTGCGAGCAGGATACCACCAGATCAGAATGCATCCTGAAGATGAAGAGAAGACAACGTTTAAAATGCATCAAGGACATTTTCAGTTCCGTGTGCTTCCATACGGAGTGACAGGTGGACCAGCCACGTTTCAGGGGGGCATGAACACAATGTTTGGACCACTGCTGCGAAAAGGGGTTCTTGTTTTCATGGACGATATCCTGATGCACTCAGCCACCTTCCCTGACCATCTACTGCTGTTACGTCAGGTGCTCTCCATACTGAAGGCAAACGACCTGCGAGCAAAACTCTTCAAATGCACATTCGCGTAGAACAGTATCTCATACTTGGGGCACCAGATTAGCGAGGCAGGAGTCTCAACACTTCCGGACAAGATTCAGGCAGTGACAACTTGGCCACAGCCAGAATCAGTGAAGGAATTGCGCGGGTTCCTGGGGTTAGCTGGTTACTACCGCAAATTCGTGCGCAACTTTGGCATCATCAGCCGACCCCTCACAGATCTTCTCCGCAAGAACTCGATGTTCGTCTGGACGAACGTCACCAAAGAGGCATTCCAAGAACTCAAACGCGCTCTCATCCAAGTCCCGGTGCTGGCATTACCGAACTTCTTGAAGCAGTTTGTAGTGGAGACTGACGCAAGTGCTACCGGAGTGGGGGCAGTCCTGATGCAAGACGCACATCCCGTCGCTTACTTGAGTAAGGCACTCTGTCCTTGGAACCTGGGCCTCTCAGCTTACGAGAAGGAATGTTTGGCGCTGCTTCTAGCAATCGACCATTGGCGACCTTACCTTCAACACGCAGAGTTCCTAATCTGCATAGATCAAAAGAGCCTACTCAATCTCACTGATCAGCGCTTGAATACCCCAATTCAGCAGTGCGTGTTTACCAAATTGGTGGGGCTACAGTTCCGTATTCAGTACAAGGCAGGAACACTGAACCGAGCCGCGGATGCACTATCGAGACGCCGCCATGAGCAACATTCAAAGTTGAATGCCGTGTCAGTGTGCAGACCGGTCACACCCTCATGGATCCGCTGAATTACTCGCTCCATCAACATGGTCACCTCCTCCTTCTCTGCTGGAGTCACTCTCAAGGAAGTGGTTTCTGGACTCGCTCTAAGGAAAAGGGAGGGAGACCAGTCGAATGACCAGGGGTCGA